TGGACTGCCAAGAAAACAAACAGATTCATCCTGGAGAGGGTTAAACCAGGCTACTCCTTGGAGGCAAGGATTCTGTGGCTTCGTCTGCCATACTTTGGGCGTGTAGCAAGGAGGGACACGTCCTTGGAGAGGGACATCATGCTTGGGTGGGTGGAGGGACGGTGCAAGAGGGAAGGACCCTCTATGAGATGGATTGATTCTGTGACGGGGTTAATTGGGCTGAGTGTGTCAGAGGCAATGCGATTGGCACAGGATAAAGCCAGGTTTAGGGCTGTTGTACATAGGGTCGCTATGAGGCACAAACGACTCGAGGGCACATAACAACAACAGTCCATAGGGAGTTGTGCTGCTCACCAAAGGCTGAGTCTCTGGGCTTTGAATCCACCAGTGGCCCTCCAGGGGAGAAAGATGGGTAATGTCCATCCATGCAATAGGAAACCCAGTGAATGGTCACCTTTGACTCTATTTTGACCTGGTAGCAATGACTTTTTGTTTGGTTATTTCTATAAATTGGCTGCTGAGTACAGCTTTTGCTTTGTTAAAAAGATTTTAGTGTATTTTCATTATCATTTGCTTGAAGAAATGGAAGAAAAAAGTTTTATACCTTTTATTACTCTTTAGCAGGAGTGTTCCATACTTTCCATGTACTTTATTTCTTTCCGTATTGATGTCTTTGTTGCGGATTTATAATTTTATAGAATGATGACCTGACAAGTTACGTTTTAGTATTTTGATGTTTTTTAATTTATTGAGTCTTGCTCTGTGACTTAATAAATTGACTGTTTCTTTTTTTCTTCTTTCTTCTGGATTTAAAAAAAAAATACTATTTAAAAAAAATTCATTTCTTGTTGCACATTTTATTCTTTCCCTGCCCCCACCTTCCCACTTTGCAGTGTACTTCTATTCTTGAGGATATTCTGTTCACTTGAGAAGAATGTATGTTGTGTGCTTATTGGTTGGAGTGTTCTATATGTCTAGTTAATGATTAATCATAACTAGTTATGATCTAGCTAGTTAACGGTATTACTGTTTAGTGTCTTTGTTTTTTACTTCATTGAAAGTAGTATATTGAAGTCTTCTATTGTTAACCAGGAAATTACCAATTTGTGTCTTAAAACATTTTAAACTTTGATTTATGTACCTTGTGGCTCTGTCTTTGGTGCATTGTTAGTATTATGCACTGTTGAGTTGAAACTGACTCATAGCTGATCTCCCACGGTTTTTCTGAGGCAGTAAATCACACAGGAGGAGATTGCCTATCTTTCTCAACACAGAGTAGCCGATGGACTTGAATCACATGCCTTTGGGTAGGCAGCACAGCTCCTTACTCACTAGACCACCAGAGCTTCCTCATTGGGTGCACAGATGCTAATTATAATTATGTCTTCCTTGTTCTGTTTACTCTTTGATCACATTATTTAATGTTCTTCCTTGTCTCTTTTGCTGGTATTTGAAGCCTATTTTATCAGAAATTAATATTACCAGTCCTGATCTTTTTCTATTGTTTTCAGTCCTTATCTTTTATGATTGCTGATTGTTAATATGTTTTTTTACATTCTCTTATTGTCTATCTGTGTCCTTCTGTCTAGAGTGTGTCGCTCGTAGACAGCATATTGATGCATCATGTTTCAGATTTTTTAAACTTTTTAAAAGTTTATATTGGTTTATTTACAAAAGTCACATATATTGTATTTTGTTTTTATACATTGTGTTTCATACATTCCTCCATTCACACTGTGTTTCACATTATCATTCTCCTATATTGTGTTTTATAAAATTAATCACCATTGATCCAGGCCCATCATTACCCACCTTTTCAAGTTCCCACTGGGTCTTTCCTAATTTCCACTAAACTCTGCAACTTTGGGATTTCCCCCTTCCTACCTACATCGTGTTTTCTTACCATTTCAGCTACTCTCTTTCTCTTGACTCATAACATTCAATCCATTTTCCGTTCAGTGCAATTATTGACAGATGTGGCTTTAATGCCATCATTTTGCTGCATGTACTGCTTTTTAATGGTGCTGCTGATTTCTTTGTTCTCTTTGCTTTTTTGTGATGAGTTAATTTTGTTTGTAAGCCATGATGGTATTGTCACATGCTTCATATGCTTGTGACTGTTGGGCAATGAATAAAGAAGACTGAAGAAGAATTGATGCCTTTGAATTATGGTGTTGGCAAAGAATATTGAATTTCCCATGGACTACCAAAAGAACAAATAGGTCTATTTTGGAAGCATTGCAGCCAGAGTGCTCCTTAAAAGTTAGGAGAGTGGGGTAAGACTGAGCAAAACTGGATAAATTGTGTATACTGCACTGAAACAGATGAGGGAGAGAATAATTTAAAAGCGATGTATCATAGGGTATTATGGTTATCACTAGAGTCCACAATTAAGGTTGCATAGTGGAATGCACTTGGGGTGGTGGGAGGGGTGCAGGGGGGTGGGGATTGTGTACCAGGGAGGGAGTATTTCTTTTACTTTTCAAAGAGAGGAGCGAACTGGGGTGGGCGGGAAGAGAAGTGCAGCTATGAATGAATGGAAATCCAAAATCTCTGTAAATGGCCATTAAAATTATTTAAAAAAAAAAAAGGAGAGTGAGATTTTGTTATACTTTGGACATTATCAGGAACAGCCAGTCCTTGAAAAAGGGTATCTTGCTTTGAAAATTAGAGAATCAGGATAGGAGAGGAAGACTTTTTATGAGATGGATTGATACAGTGTAATAGTGTGCTTAAGGGAGCTCTCTCTGCTGGCCTAGTGCCAAGAAGCTGTGCTGCAATCCCTAAGGCACTTGGTTCAAATCCACCAGATGTTCTGCTGGAGAAGGAGAGGCAAATCTCCAGTGCCAGTCAGATCTGACTCAACGGTACACACACACACACACACACACACACGATAAAAGAGTGGGCTTAAAGCACAGCAAGGTTTCACTTCTGTCATACATGGCTTACCAGGGTGGCCTGAACAACACATAACAGCATAGGGTGGAATGCACTTGTGCCCCCTAAAATGCTTTGTAAATTCTAACCTCTGCATTTAGTTAAAACCACATTTGAGGATGGGTGCTTTTTTTGTTTGTTTATGTTTAGAAAACATATTTTGCATAGCATTGTGTTTTGAGTCAATCTCTTTGGAGATGTAAATGAAATAAGGAAGGGAGAAAAGCAGAGAATGGGGCACAGGTAAGGGAGAAAAGCAGGGATGGGGAATGAGACATCATACCACTATATGAAGATCGCCCAGGAGCAGAAGTTCAGAAGAGATAAGGACTTTTCATCTAGAGCTAGTAGAAAAAGTCGTATCCTAACGCTCACAATCTGAATTCAGACTTGTAGTCCTCTATGCTATGAAAGTGAACTCTGGTGGCTTAGTGGGTGAGGGGCTACACTGTCAACCCAAAGTCACACAGTTTGAATCCACCATTTGCTCTGTGGGAGAAAGATGGACAGTCTCCTCTGAAAACCCACTAGAAGGTCAGCTGTGGGTCACTTCCAACTTAATGGCACAACAGTAGAATCCAATGAAAACCTATATTTCTCTTTGTTAAAGCTGTCTATGTGTGGTTTCCTAATACCACTAGATAATAACTAGGATGATTTTTATGTTTTGTATTTCTTCTGAGTTGCCTCTTTAGATCCAGAAGGTCAGCTTGGTTTATGTTTTCTAACATTTCTGACCCATTAAAGTCAGGAGTCGATAGCTTGGCAGAATCACAGACCATCTTGGTTGTTTGAGGGCATTGCCAGTGTTGCCCTGCTTTTTGCAGAGGAAGGAAAAGCCTACGGCCTTTTGGCTTGGCGTGACAAGTCATTACTCTCTTCTGGGAGTAGGTGTCGGATTTCTGGCATGACTTAAATGTTGAATTCTTGCTTCAAAAGTGTGAGTATGCGTTTGCCGCATGGGAGGATTCTACCTAACTCTGCCTACTTTTTCACTTTCTTTATTAAGATTCTTCAGAGGAGACCCCTCCAGCTCCTCAGAACTTCATCATTCCAAAAAAGGAGATTCATACCGTTCCGGACATGGGCAAATGGAAGCGTTCTCAGGTACAGTAGTGTCTGCAGGGTAGAGTCAATTGTTCTAGGGTGAGGCAATTGTTCTCTCTAGGAAATACAGGCTTTTTAAAGACAGTGGTTTTCTAAGTGTGATGGGGTTTGAGCTTCCTGGCCCTTAATGATCGCAGAGCCTGCACGTTTGTAAGCTAGGGAGAGAAGTGATGGAGAATTGGCTGTCGTCCTGCTCCCAGATGCTTCTGCCCAAAAGCCTCTGGAAACTGAGGCCAGGGTATCTCTGGAGAGCTCGCCATATGGCTCTCAAAATTTATTGGCCTTTGATTTTGTATTGATTGCCTGTGAAGATCCTGAATGTTAAAGTGGGCCACTTTGATTCTTTGTTGCAAATAACAGCAAGTATGAGAGTCAGTTTATCATAAGAAAAAGAGGTTATTTCCTGGAAAATTTGGCCAGGGATATGTGTTTGTCTCAGAAATACCAAGAAACCAGAATCTAGGAAATTGGATGGAAATAGGTAGGATGCCATCTCCACCTTCTCTGTAGGCCAGCTTTCTATGTTGTGTAGTCCAAATGACGGGAAGACTATAGTTTACCTCCTAAGAGTGTGGTGCAGGTGTGTAAAAGTCTAGGACGGAGAAAAAGAAAACCAATTACAAATTTTTAGGGTAGGCCTCTGACTCAGTTCTGGTCACCTGGGTTAGAGAGGATCACGTGTGCAGAAGGACAGGCTCAGGAGTCCCCACAGGTTTGGCAGATTCTCTTAAGTAGTCTGTAATGCTTGCATCAAGTACAAACTCTGAAGTGTCTGTGCCTTATGTTAGTTGTAATTTAGGAGTATATAAGTCTGTCTGGTTCTTTTATTTACAGGCCAGCCCACTAAATTTTTGAAGATGGTTATCATGTCTTTTTGGAGATGTCTTACAAAGTTTTCCACAGAACAAATACCTAAATTGCTTCAGTTGGTCCTCAAAGGACATGGTTTTGAGTCTTTTGTTGTCTTAGTTGCTCCCCTTTAGAATTTTTTAACTAAGCTTTGGTGTTGTAGCCTGTAAAGAGTTGTGCTGCTAACCCAAAGGCTACAGCTCTCTGGCCATATGAAGCTGCCAGTGTCTCTGAGGGAAAAAAGGTACGTAGTTTCTTCCCATGTGATTTATAGCCTTTGAAATAGAATGGAGGGTCAGCTGTGAGCCAGTTATGACTCAATGGCAGTGAGTTGAGTTGATATTTTTTTGGGGCAGATCATTATGGTAAGAGACTGTACTATGCATTGTAGGATGTTTAACAGCATCCCTGTCTTCTACTCACTATTTGCCTGTATACAGCAACCCCTTCCCCCAGTTGTGATGAAATGTCTTCAGGTATTACCATATGCTTCACTTAATTACTTATAGTGAGAAGTAATGCTTTATCTTGAACATGTTTGACTGTATACATGACTTTAGTTTCTTGTTTTCCCCGTGAGATGTTTTCCAAAAATGTTAGGTGTTTATGATAGGACTTCAGTTCTGTGATTCTTTCTCATTTTTTAATGTAAGGAAACTGAGACTGAGAAGTAAAGAAATTTAATAATTAACAAAAATTAGTAAGTGGTTGAGTTGAGATTCAAAACTGTATGCCAGATGCTGAGCCACTTGTGTTCTAGCCCTGCACTTTGCAGATTACTGCCTATCACTGTAATCTGGCCCACTGTCTGATTTTTGGAATAAAGTTTTATTGGAACACAACTACAGCCATTTGCTTACATAGGCTGCTTTTGTACTACTATGGCAGATTTCAACAGAATTGAGAAGTTGAGACCCAGATTGTAGGACTCACAGAGGCCAAAATATTGCTTGTCTAGCCCTTTGCAGGTAAAGTTTGCCACCTCACACGAAATGCTGCCATGTTTTTAGAAATGTTGGCTACTTCTGTAGTCTGTAGTCAACGGTACTTGATAGAAATATTTTATTTGCTCTAAAGCTCATCAATCAAGTTTATGGACCCACTGTGGCTAGATTATAGCACCAGGGTTTTTTAGACAACAAAGTGCAATGACTAAGAACATGGGCTTTGGAGACAGAGAAGTCTGGATTGCCATGTTCTCGTCTTGTGACTTAGGCAAGATCTCTAACCTACCTGGTTGAGCTCAGTTTCCTTTATAAAAAAATGGGTTGTTTGGGGGCCAAGATGACTTAAAAGCTCAAAAAATAATTAGCCAAGTTCTAGGCATGCAATAAACTGTATTGAAGACTCGGCACAATTCTTATTGCTTTTGTTAAATCATTGTCATCAATATGTTGATGGAGACTTTGTACACAGTCATATTTTTAAGAATGCTCCGAGTTTTAGTTATCGGAGACCTGGCCCTAGGTGAGAGTTGGGGTATGTGGAGACACTTGTCTCTTGCTACTTTTTAGCCTTAGATTCCAATATACTTTGCAGATTGAAGTGATCAGGATAAGACCTCAAACTTGCTCTGAGCTGGGAACACTGCTGTGGGTAATATACCTGGCTGGCCATGAGACCCCTATTTCTACCCAGGATCATTCCACAAATAGGCAGGAGGATCCTACATAGGAATACTCCCTTCTAGATATTAAGTGCTTGGTTATAATTGTCTTGGGACTTAATGTGGGCACCCCTGGTGTCTTTAAGAAAGAAAGGATGGAGAAGAAATAAGAGTAAAACAAAGTATTCCTAGGCATTACCTCACTAGCAGTTTCTGCTTTCTTACTCCTCTGCTCAGTTGAAAGCTTAGAATGAGTATGCTGTGGAACCAGCTCCCACAGGATGCCTGTGTGCAAAAGATAGGGCACCTGCACTGTATCTAGACAAGTTAGCCACTGGTAGAAGCCCTCAGAAGCTTATTATGAGAGGGCATGTGGGCTGAAAAGAAAGGGCAGAGGACATTCTGTATTGTTCCTTGAACTCCTTACAGTGTGGTAATAATGGACACATTCTCAGCCACTCAGCTTTGGAGCTCGGCCATTTGAGTCCATGCTCCACATCTGATGAGATATTACCCTCAGAAAATCTTGAGCAAGTTACTTCTGAAGCCTTGTTTCTTCATCTATAAAGTGACAGTAGAGATATTATCTGCCTCATGGAGTTGTATAAGGAAGCTGCTGGCAGTAGTAGTAAGCAGTAGAGGCCAGGAGTTAGGTTGTCTTTGACTTTCTGGCTTTGGAGGTGGTGTAGTTGGTGTTATAATGCAATGAATTACTTAATATGCCCTGCTAGCCATTTCTTGTACCTTCTAAAAATATGGGATGAGACTGTGTAGATAAGCTGATTTTGGCCTATTAAGGGTATTGAATAGCTTGCTAATAATGCAGAAAAGTACATGACATACTTGTGTGAGTGAGGCCATGCAAATAAGGCATATGGAACCCTAATGAGATTAAAGTCCAGTATGAGTTATATCCTGCTATACTTAAAAGAGAGTTGATTCCAAAACAAAGTAGAGCCCTAACTATCAGCGAGAAAAAAGAATTGGCGCACATGCTTTGAGCCGGGGTCCCTGTGCTGGGAATCTCCTAGATCCAGGAGAATAGAACATTTTAACACCAGAGATAACAAGAAGCAGTGACAGAGAAATGATGGTAGCAGAGGCAGAAGAACTGGGATACTGGTAGGGGATGGCACAGTGAGCTACAGAAAAGAAAACTGAACCATCTTTGGGCTGAGTTGCAGGAGGGTGTTTTTGGACATTATAGGCAGAACTTTGTAGCACTTGCCTGAGCAGACCAGAGGTGGGCTGGTCTAAGAGACTGAACTCCAGGGAGAGACCTGCTAGTGGGCAATGCTGAAAAGCCATCCTGCTGAAGAATGGTATCCCAAGTCCTTCCTGGTCACCTGATCATACTTTCCTAGTAAACCCCCTAATTGTGAGTTTTGTCTCTGAGTTCAGTGTGGCCATTGCAATGAATTATCAAACCCAATAGAGAAGTATTGCTGTGGGAAGAATGATTTGTTGTCAGAATTGGTAAAAAGGTCAGAGATGAGACCATCTGACCTCTACCTCAAAGGACTCAGCCTTGGACAGAAGCTGCTGATGGTGATTTTCCATCTCTGTGAAGTTAAAGTGAGCAGATGCCTCTACCCCACTGCCTTTCCACTTCTACTACCAGGCTAGGAGTAAGGAACAGCTTGGTGCTCTTCGTAGCTAGGTGAAGCTAGAGGGTTGGCTGATGTATACAGGGTAATGGACCTGACATCCCTCTCCACATCCTCTTCTTTTTAATAGGCATATGCAGACTACATTGGATTCATCCTCACTCTCAATGAAGGTGTGAAGGGGAAGAAGCTGACCTATGAGTACAAAATCTCTGAGGTAGGTATAGGCAGGGATCCTGCTGTGATTGCCTTCCCCCAAATAGCCAAGAAAGGCACATGTACTCTTTACCTATAACTGAGACAATGCATAAAATATGATAACCCAACACAAGTGCAGTTCACACTTGGTATCTATGTCTCATCTGTTAAAAAATGTGAGTAGATGTATATTTATGGAAGTCTGATAAAAATACACTATTTCCTTTTTGTTTACTGATATGTTTACCTAACTGTTTAAATTACAGAAAATTATGAAAGTAGTAAATGTGCTCATTGAAGAGATCACTCATAGAAAGATGGATAATATTAACTGAAGAGTTGACCTCTTGGTGTTGTTCTTAATATGCAGAGCTCCGGGCAGCAGTTCCTGAGAACAGTTTGAGGCACATTCTTCATGTATCAGGACACAGCTAGATGTTTTTTTCTTTTTCTTTTTTTTAAATGGTGAGAAAAATTTGTATTTAGAATTAGCCAGCTGGACCCAGTTTAGATGATTCTGATTTTGTCAGCAACAACCAAAGCATCACAGTCAGAAGCAAGTTGCACTTAGGCCTTCTTTCTATCAGGCCTAATCAAGGTGTTGACCTTAGCCATATCAGTGTCATAGAGATACTTTACAGCTTGTTTTATTTGGTGCCTGTTGGCTTTGACATCCACAATGCATACAAGTGTGTTACTATCTTCTATCTTCTTCATGGCTGACTCAGTAGTCAGGGGAAAGTTGATGATGACATAGTGGTCAAGCTTGTTTCTCCTGGGGTTGCTCTTCCAGGGGTATTTGGTCAGTCTTTGGAGTCTCAGCATCTTAGGCCGCTGGAAGGTGGTGACATGCAGATCTTTTTTTTCTTTTTTTTTTGTGTCTTTCAATGCTCTTCACGACTGCCTGCTTGGCCTTTAATGCCTTTGCTTTGCCTTCAGTTTTGAGAGGGGCAGGGTCTTCCTTCTTCGCTTTTGGCGCCATCTTCTTAGAAAGGCTAGATGTTTTTTTCCCTGCAGCATAAATGGCTGCCTCCTTGAGTTGTGTCTTGATCATTTTGACAAAACTCTAATTTTAGATCCCTAAAGCAGTGCTGTCCTATGGGCATTCTTTTTTTAAAAATTTTCTACTAATTTATTTACAAAACTTGAATACAAATTCAAACAAATTCTTTCAATTTCTCTCACTGTCCCCCCCCCCCATCAAATACCCTTCTTCCCCTACACATCCACATCCCTCTGCTTCCAGCCTCTCCCACCCCTCTTGGATCCTGATACTCATTCTACAATAATGATTTTATTCAATATTTATCCTTGTGGGCATTGTTTCTTAAGGATTCATTCCTTGAAGTAGAATTGCTTGATGGAAGAACACAAATTTTTTAGACTTTGAGTTTGCACTTCCATGTGGATGTTTGTGGGGGGGGGTGTGAGTCTAAGATTTTCTTTTGATTTGGGTGAAAGTTTACAGAGCAAATTTGTTTTTCATTCAATGATTTCTTCCCATTTTGTCACATTAGTTGCAATCCTCTCAGTGTAACAGTACTCTTTTTGCTTCCACTCTGGGTTCCCCATTTTGCCTGTCTTAATCTTGTTTTTAGGCAGCTGCTGCCCTTTTGGTCTCATAAAGTTGATTGTTCTGAGGAGCATATTACTCAAAAGTGTTTTTTTCTGGCTGAATGGTGACTCCCAGGGCAGGTTCTGTTATAACAGGTTTGAAGGGTATCTGAGGTCCCACCATTCTCTATCAGACCATTAAGTCTGGCCTTTTTTATGATTCTCATTCTGTTTCAACACCCACCTATTAATGATCCTGATCAGAGTGGTTAGTAGTGATAACCTGGTACCATTTAGTTCTTTTCTGTGCTAAGTTTACTGAGGTCCATTAGTTCTTTGGACTAATTATTTCCTTAAATCCTTGATTTTCTGTACTCTTCTTTGCTCTGCATGGGAAGAGACCAATAGTTGTTGTCTTAGATGGCCGTTTTAAGACACCAATTGCTACTCACCAAGGTAGGATGTAGAACATTGTCTTTATGAACTGTTATGCTTAATGAACTAGATATTCCCTGAGGCTGTGAACCTAGTCTTTAAGCCCAATAACTCAGTCCTAAAATAATTTGATTATGACCAAGACACTTGTATAACTTTGTCCCATATATGTGCTGCAATATAATTGCACCATTGCACTATATAATTGCACTAGTGTAGAAATAAATATCTTCTGTCAAGTTTGTTTGTATTTCCATAAGCCATCCCTTACCTATGAAGATTACACTGTCTACCTATTACACTAATAAATTGCTCATTATTATTGGTTTGTTTAGTTTTTTCTCTTGTTGTATACTGTTGAGTCAGATCCATCTGGCACAGGAGGAGATTGCCCCTGCTTCTCCAGTGAAGCATCTGGTGGATTCAAATTGTGCTCCTTTGAGATTGCAGCACAACTTCTTGCCACTAGGCCAACAGAGCTCCCTTCATTATTACTATTAATGCAGGATTATGTATCTAATAATATTTGCCATTGTTAACCTTTTACTCTTGCATCCTTGTTAGTATCTTCCTTTCTCTTGGTAATGTTGTATTGACCTTTCTTTTGTTGTATATTGCCTTTCCCTCTTCCTAAGTTAATAATGTTAATTGTCAGCTACTTCATTTCACTTGCATTTACAACACCCTTGGTAGCAGCAATAAAGAAATCAAATGATATATCGGAAAGGGAAGATCTGCCCTCAAAACCTCTCCAAAGTCCTAAGGAACAATGAGGTCAATTAAAAGATTAAGGTGCACCTACCTTATCAAATCCATATCTTTTCAATTACTTGTTCTGCATCTGAAAGTTGAATAATGAATAAGAATTATAGAATAACCAATGCCTTTGACTTGTGATGTTGGAGAAGAGTGCTCAGTATCCCATGAAATGTTAAAAGAACAAACAAATTTGTCTTGAATAAAGTGCAAACTAAGGGTTGTGCCGAAGCGTTGCTCCCTAGGGTTGCACAAGGGTGATTCTTAAAGGCAAGGATGGTGAAACTTCATCTCATATACTTTGGGCATGTTGTTAGGAGGGGCTACTCTTTTTTTTATTAATTATTATTAATTTTAATTTAAGTTATGGAGACTTAGGGTTTGCATTCATTCATTGTTGCAGTTTTCTCCCTGCCCAGCCCCTCCCCCTATTCACTCTTCTCCTTGAAAAGTAAAACCAAAACTTCTTTTATTGTTATGCAACCCCTCCCCCTAGGTCCACTCCACTGTGCAGCTTTCATTCTGGGCTCCTGTCATGACAATAATACCCAAACATATATCCCTTTTAAACAGTTCTTTCCCTCATCTGTTTCAACGCATCATTCCTCCCCTGCTTTTCTTGTCTTCCCTCAACCCTGATGTCAGTCCCGTTTTACAACAGTGGCACTATGCAATATTTATCCTTTTGGACTGAGATAATTCACTCAGCATAATGTCCTCTAGGGTCATCCACTTTGCATAGTATTTCATGAGTTTCTTGTTTTTCAATGCTGTATAATATTCCATTGTGTGAATATACCAGAGCTTCTCTATCCATTCGTTTGTTGATGGGAAAAGGGACCACTCTTTAGAATAAGACATCATATTTAGAAAGGTCGGTGAAAGAGAGACATTAAATAAACAAGATAGATTGACAGTGTCTGTAACTATGGGATCAAGTATATCAGAGATGATGAGTGTAGCACAGGACAGGACACAGTACTGACCTGTTTGTTCATAGGTTCACTGTGGGTTGTAGTTAACAACAACAACAACAACTATCTAGATTGTGATTTTCCTTTCTCCCCTCTCCCATCCCTGTTAACCAATAATGGGGGTTTTGTGTGCTATAAACTTTTTCTTGACTTTTTATAATAGTTGTTGTTGATGGAACATAGCTGACCATTTGGAGGGTTTTCAGAGGCAGTAAATTGCACACTCCCCATCTTTCTCCCACAGAACAGGTGGTGGATTTGAACTCCATGCTTTTGAGAGATTGCAGTGCAGCCTTTTACTGCTAAGCCACCTCTTCTTTTGTGATTGACTTCACTTAGCCTCATGTCCTTCAGTTTTGTTCATCCATGTTGTGAGATGTTTTGTGGACTCATGGTTACCTTTTAATGTTGTATAGCATTCCACTTTGAATCTACCATAGTTTGTTTATGCATTCATTCACTGATGGGCATTTAGGTTGTTTCCTTTTTTTTCTATTGTGAGTAATGCTTTGATAAGCATAGCTACACAAATACTTATATATCAGGGCTTATTTCTCTAGGATATGTATTGAGTAGTGGGTTTGCTCTGGGGGAAAAATGAGCAATTTCTTCCTATGCAGTTTGCAGTCTTTGAAAACCTGCTTGAGGGGCAGCTGTCAGGTAAGTTTCTTTTAAAGTAAGATTACTGGATGATATGGTATCTCTAATTTTTTAACATTCCATTTCCCATAGTGGTGGTACCATTTTATAATCGCAGTAGGTGCTTTATGATGCTACTTCAGAAACAGACTTATTTATGTAGAGAAGGCAAGAACCATGCCCCAGTGGGGGACTCAGTGGAAGGTGTGGTCCTGCAGCTGCTTGCCCTTCCTGGGTACTGTCTCCCAGGGCCAGGTTCCAGTCTTCTCCTGGCCTTTTGGGTTGCTGTCCCAGTTGGCTCAGAGCCACTGCCAGTTGCTTATCTCAGAAAACAGGGCCTGTGCTGTCTCTCTGTGTACTTCGTCTCACCCAGCCCTCTAGCCAATCTTGGGTTATGTTGAGTAAGTTCTGGCCCAGCTCTCACCCAGGTTTCCCCACCCATCCAAAGCTGACATTGACCCTTAGACACTTCCTGGTGGATGTACTTTTTCTTAGATCCTAGCCGGTTACTTTGTGCCCTATATTCTTGCTTTGTCCATGTGAGAGTAACCAGGCCAGTGTCTGGGATAGATTGCGTTCCTTGGGAGTGGCTCCCTTCTTGGGTTTCTCTTGGGCCTGCCTAGCACCCTGGGAGTGGTTGTTGTTGCAGGATGACTGGGAA